TGGCTAAAGCGTTATAGGTAATTGAGAACCTTTATAATCAAAAACTCAATAAAAGTTGGACTACTAGCCACGATCCTTCGTTATTGAGAATTGGGTTACCGACCGACGTCAAGTTTAATAATAGTATAGCTCCAAATATTATTTGCATCTCAGAAACCAATATTCCAGCTTAGTTTGGCTCAATAGACCCTAGAATATAACTTGATATTCACCAATAATTGAGTTATCGCCAACTGTTGGTCGAACTAATATAGTTACACAATCCAATCTAGTCACATTGAGAGCAGATATCAATGCTGTTATTAAATACAGCCACTATTGGCCCCAACGTTGGGCATCTTTATACAATATCTGCCATCTTGTCGGAAAGTTCTAACTAATTTAGTCCCTTGGTAGAAGACAGATTATTTGCTGGGTTGATCTAGCTATGGTCATTAATTCAGTTTGGTCGTTCATGAATCTTATTAGTATCAGACTGTAGGGCGAAGTTATATTGACATATACAATCAAAACACAGACAGAGAATTTAAACTTTAGGTTCGAAGAGTCATTAAACTTTGTGCCTTGTACAAATCTATTGCTTGTTAAAAAAATAATAAGATACAAAAAAAAAAACGGGAGCAAGATAACAATGAAAGATTTTTGAGAAAATTTTAAACCACATTATTTTATTTAGAAATCTTAAAATCTTTTATACTACTTAAATATTGTAAGAACTAAGTTTACGCCACGTGCGGTTATATGGGATCTGCAAACGTTTAGGAACTAAGCAGAGATAGTATAAATATTAAGGAAAACAATCAATAATCAACGAGTAGTTAATTTTACAGATGGCACCTACCAAATACCACTTAATCATCATCATCATCATGAAAAGCCCGCGAAAGACCATTGCTGGCCTAATGAATGTTGCAAGCAAGTTGAAGATGGTAATTTAAATAGTTCAAGTTTATGACAGAGCTCTGTTACCCAGTTCCTATTAAATGTGTAGCCTTTTATGTCTTATGTCGCCCACAAAAAGCATTTGGTAGTGCCAAATGTTTGGCTAATCATATTTTAAAGGAACATCGAAAATCGGTTTTCTATCTTTGAAAACATTTGTAACACCATTTTATCTGTTTTTCCCTAATCCCCACTAAGTCTGGGTCCGCTTAGTCCTGGCTCGAAAACATCTTTGAATCCTCCGTCGCTATTCTGGTCACGGCTAGATTTGCCCTCCGTGCCGAAGAATTCTGTTAGGGGCTTAAATAAAACGTGACTACCTACTGCCTGAGCATAAAATTCGCTTTGAAAATCTCATCTATCATTGTACGATGTTGCGAATATAGATCAAGTGTTGGTACCCCCAGATTTCGTAACTAATTTGTGATATATCGTTTACATAACTCACGTCTCTTATCCCCGAAGGAATAGACAGAGGTGTGCATTAGGTACATCACTTAATGCCACTGTACAATGTAACACCTACTTTTCACTAATTATGTTATGAGTCCCATGTAATAGGGGTGAGCCTATTGCCATATACCGTGAATATTTCCGGACTCCGTGGTACGACTGAGAATTATTTTAAAACCCGAACCCGAGACCCCTTGCCCGGCAGTCGCACTGGCGAAAACTCGGCCAACGAGGCAGTCATCAGTCAGTGTATCTTTTATTCAATACATCATTATCTACGCTATTCCTTTTAATTTCTTTCGTAATATAACTACTTCTCATCAATGAATTAGTTACATTACACAACTAACAATTTTGAAATCAAACAACACTCTTAACTACCACTCTATAGTTTAAACTACACAAATATGAATCTCAGCATTGAATAAAACTCACGAAATTGATTTTCAGTATACTTGTCAGTAGAAACCTTACTCAGACGGCTACACAAACTGCTTCAGGAAGGCTGTTATCAAATTTTGTATTGGAAACTGTTTATGGAGTTTGAACTCTTGCTATTAAAGCCACGAAGTTTAACTTCAAACTTGAGGAAGGAGTAAAGGTAACCAAGGAGTATCTTTCACAGCTCTTACCTAACTTAGTTCATAAGTTTTAAGTACTTGAACTTATTCTTTGAGAAGATTGATTTTAGATTTTAATGAGTAGCTTGTCTAGCAGTTTTGTTGATTTATAAAATTCTTAGTAGTTTGTTCTGTCTGAGAAGTTTTTATGTTTTATTGTAATGGACATAAGTGTGACTGGTTTTAATACTTGGTATAGATTGAGTAAAAATTTTTATGTCTTAGTTACCGTACTATGGATTATTGACTCGGTGTTTAAAGGCCGATCATTGAAAAGTCGTACCAAATATAAGCGAGAGATAATTTTAAATTATTATCATAAAAGCTAATCATAATTTCGAACTCATTACTAAAAATCCTTCTATTTAGTTTTTGTACAATTAAACTACTCAGTTGCCACAAAAAGCCGATTTTCCACTACTTAAATAATAAACAGAACAACCTAGCTCCTAGACTATACAAACGTTACTTTTTGTAATCGCTAGTCCAAGAGCCGACGCCGAAAAATAGGTTAATAGCGTTGTTACTTGCGATAAGCGAACTATTGTGAACGTTTGTATTTTGTATTTAGTAGTTTGTGAAAAAATTTACTTTGATTTCTTTACGTTTAGCAGTTGATATGATTTTATTATGTTTTTCTGGAAACAAATACTTCGTTCTGTTATTGTATTGTTAGCAATTCATTCAATTAAATGTCATTGAGTTATTGGAAATTCGCTGCAACGATTTTACTTAGCCTTTTACATGGGGTTTCCATCATGGCGAAGTAGATAGCACTTTCTTACATAGTATGACGGACAGAGGTGAAAATAGTCCTCTATTTTAAAATACAAATGAAATTGCTTTAAAAGAAGGCATTAATTTTAGAGCACAACAATTCCAGTTCAGCAAATGTCACATGAAAATGCAAGAAATGAGATAATGAAGGAGATAGAAGACGTACACCTTTACATAGAAACAGCTGAACAGATATTGAAAGGATGTTTTACAGACATAAACAATATCCATGAGTTAAATGACCCAATAATGCTAATCAGAGCACGCTTTATAAAAATATCGATCTGCTATTAGCGATAGAATTGAAACAGTTGTTGCGTAAACCCTTTCAGTGGAAAACATGTGTAGTACTTCGAGTACTACAGGCGATCGAGTGCGATGCCTGTCAAGGGTAAGCGAGTCAGACGCGGGGCTGCTGACGCGGAGTTACGAAACGAAATGGATGAGCACAGATTTAAAATTTCACAAGTCGTTTTTAGATTTAGACGTGGCAGATCACATTTACGACATCAATATAATGAGTTATGATGCCCATGTTTCATGGGATTTAAATGAAATTAAATGAAAATTTTGAAAAGGCTCCAGGCCATTCTGGGACCTCGCTGCTTTAATTGTGAACCGGGGGTCGAACCCGGAAGCTTAGCAGATTGTGAACGATAAGCCAATAACACAAGCAATGATATGAAGTTAGATGTTTTGTTACAGTTAAAGCTTCGATAATGTTGATGGTTATGAGATAGCACAGTTTAGAACGAACGTGGAATGGAATTTCAGTCTTTTGTTATTACGGATGATGTACTTTGTTTAGTTTAGTTTAGTGCTTAAACATTTAATGGCTTTAATGGTTCTAATTACTATTTGATTATATAAGGTCTGCGGTTTTCAGTTGACCTCTCAAGGTTCTTTTATTACCTTTTTGCACTGTTTTGCACACTATAGTTAATTATAAACCAGAGGATTTCCTCTGAGACAGACGGTTGGTAAAAAATCAATTGTTTACCGTTTTTGTGTGCGAAACGGTGAATTAAGTTGAAATTGTGCTACTAGTTTTTTGTTGGTGGTGAATTTTTGCAAGTCAACAAATTTGTAATGACATTGCCCCTAGTGGGCAATTACGGGTGAAAACATCACACTATTATATTGGCAACAAATAAAAAACAAGCAAAGCAAACACAAACACTGATCACAGCAACGAAAGGAGCGTCAAAACTGAATGTTGAAGGACTTTAACTTCACTTGTATACCTTATCCACGTCGTACGTGGTTGTATAGCAATATTATTGCTTAAAATATTGCTGAGAATTTCGAAATCCAATCTTGCTTCGTTTGACCAGGGACTCGAACCCAAAACTTGTTAACACTAAACAAGTTCGTATCAAACAGAAGCAAGCATACAAACATTTTATAATTTTCGCATTGATATGGCCTATGATGCCGCATCCATCCCTCTCATTTCTTTCTGGCTCAACGTTTTGCTTTCGGGCATTCGGGCATGTAGACGATTCTAAAAATACGTCGGTACTGACTGGGTTAGAGTTTATTGCACGTATACGGACGGATCGGGGCCAAATGTACGCGAGCGAATCAACTGGACCGCGCGTAACTCGTATTTTTAACAGAGAATATTTTTTGGATCGAAACGAAAATTCTGAATTTTAATGTGAGATTTTACACACATTTTCTGTATTCTTTCCACACGATTCCTTGTTGTATTGAGTTATAGGGAGTCGTGTTATAAGATTGATGCTGTTGAAACTCAACGTTTGCCCAGATTACAAAATGTATGGCCCTAAAAAATATTAAAGAATATCCTTAAAATAAAAGTGGATGCAAAACCAATACTACAATGCAAAATTGAAAATTCTAAGCTAATTCTAAACTACAATAACACATTTCATCCTAAGGAGTGCAAATGTGTGTGCAAACAACAATATTCCAAGATGGCCGCTAATGATTGATTTGGAAGCATGCACTGCCGGCGTCTAAACGTGTCTCACCACGAATTACTCAATCATATCTCCGTACGATCAAGTCCTTCATTCAGTTTCTCCGCGATTCTAAATTATTTGCTTCCTTTCATTGCTTGATCGTATCAATGTCATGCAGTTGCTATTTCGTCTCACACTAAAACGCTTCCACTACATATACGCTTCCTGCTTACTAATAGCAAATAGTGTATGATCTGTACATTAATACTGTTTTACTTACATCGATCTTATAGTCGTTACTTTCGTTACAAATTGGCGACGTGGATATGGGGCGAAATGAAAACTCCATTTCTTCAAATTTCTGGGACAAAAGAACAAAATCATATACTAACGTATACCTTGGTGTCTTATGTGTATTACGTATTAGTTAACAGACACATACAAACGAACACAAACACATTTTATATTAGTAAATGATGGCAGTATTATCAACATTATTGTAGTCAATAGTTAGTTTAATAGATGTGTGCCAATTGTGTTTAATAAATAATTTGCTGTCGATTTTTTTCCTAACAGCAGATCAAGCTACTGACGCGACTGTCCACAGTAAGGTTGGGATTTTATAACACGTTCGCCAATATTTTTTATAGAAATATATATAGAATTTTGTATAGGCATCAGCCATGTCTTTTTCATTCATTTGTTTCATAAGTCTGTCAGTAGCTTTATTATAATGTTGATAATTGGATGAATTGTTAAATCTGCCAGAAGCGGTATGCACTGCACCATGCAGATACATGTTGTCCCATACCAAAATATTGCATAGACATAATAACCTAACTGAACTTTAGACTGTCAAAACCAGGTGTTTACAGCCAGCAGTATTACTTAACCTGTCTTTTGTTAAGACACAAGTAACTTTGTAGAGGAGAATATTAATAAATCAAAAGCGTATTTCGGGAGCGGCCCTTAAAACAACAATTTGTTTAACAATTAGTATTTGAACAACAATACAATGTCCCTGTTCGTTGGAACAACGGACGACGACAATGAACTACGTTTTGAGGATAAACAGACGAGTAGAGTAGTGTTCTATAAGTGTAGTCTCATCGTCTCATTCCATCGGCTCGACAGGACGGACGTCAGACAGGTAGTTTGTGAATAAAGGTGTTAGGATGTAAACATGTACCCACTTACTGAATAATGCGACAGTTTGAAAGTGTCAACGACCGCGCACAATGGCGGTGATTGCTTAGTGGGTAGCACATTATTGGCACAGCCCCTACTTCCCATAACATGATAACAATCAAACTTTAGAAAATATAACAAGGAAATTGGAGTTTACTTCTAACATACGAAGCAATTCTAACAAACAGAGAGATTCCATTAATTTGAATTCTATTACATTATGAATTTCGAATCGGGCAAATAATTACGGAATTAGGACCTTCTTTCAACTCCTATCTGTATTCTATTCCTGTACCTTGAGTTCATCGCTATATTATTTTTCGGTACTCGATAGCGACGACGTAAATTTTGTTGTGTGACATATTTTGGTTCCGTAAGTGACTGCTGGAGGCGCTGTAACATTAGCCATACAAAAAAATACGTCGTCGCTGTCGAATATCGAGAAATACTATCGGTTTAAACTTATGGTAGTGGTATTGTTCCCTCTGGGATTCCGGTCGTTCGGGATTCTAATCTTCTGGTTTATGATTGAATGAAATATTGTACACCGAGATAATAAGTTTCTCCTCTGATATTAGAATTATATTTTTTTGCCTTCAAATAAAGTATTTTCCAGGTTTTAATTCCAAGCGTGTAATTTCAATTTTATTGCTTTATGTGCAAATGAAATAATACTTTTGAGGATTTAGAGATATGTATATTTTGTATGTTTTTAATAAATGTATGGTGGATTAAACAAATTTCATTTTAATACCCCATCCGAGAGCCACACTCGGGACTATAATCCCTTTTCATGCAGCACACGCTGCCATATTAAATTGAAGCGATTAATTTTAAAAATTGATTATAAATCCTTCGATATTGAATAGCATTGTAACAACTCAAACCGAGGTTGATAGCAACAACTAAATTAATAATTGTACTATACCTATTTGTTTTTAAAATCTTCCAATAACTTGATTACATCTTAGGATCCTGTCACAAATACATTTGCAATTACAGCCCATACGTTCCTTTCAACTTCGATTTAAAACACTTGAAACTAAAAGCTTCTGTAAAGTCTATTTTCGCTTGAACTGCTTCAATAACTTTTATGTTACGAAATGTATCAGGAATTAGAAACTTGGTGTATGTCTCGAGACATGAGATTGGAAATGTATTGATATGATGATAAAAACCTTAGTGGATGCTTTTAAAATCTTCAAACGCTTGCCTTCACCTTCGAGGTACTTTAGGATTTCTTACAGATACGATTTTCTAAGGATTTCCAATATTTTATCTGGCTGCTCTCCGTATTTATTTTTACGAGTTTTGTATAAAATTGTAAGTTTACTAGAGTGGTGCAGTACGATTTAGCTACAAAAGTGTTGCACATTAAACCTCTTTAGCTTTATTTGTACGGGTTTACCAACTTATATTTTTTTGTTATAAACCCCGTTGTACCCACGCAAGTGTTTATCAAAGTATAAGGTGACGAAGCCTCACAAGTTATTGAAAAAACCGCTAAAACTTTTCAACAAACAGGAGCAACAAAAGAAAAATAGCACGTCTTTGTTTTCACCGATGATATTACGAAGTTTAGCCGAAGTTTTACGAAGTATTCCGAAAGTATTTTTGGTTATTGCGTTGGTGTGTTGAAAAATAAAACTGTTTTCGAGGATTCGCTGACTGTATTTACCTCGTTACGAAATTTTGAAACCGAAGCTGTTTTTTACTCTCAAACAAACAATCTTTTTAGTCTCATCTATAAGAGTACAAGGAAAACCTAGTCCTAAATGATGACCACACTCCATTATTTACTTATCAATTGTCGTCAGAGGAAGAGAGATAGGCATACGAAGGCAACTAAGGGTAGAACGAGTCAGATATATTTGAGGATAACCGTCCCGATTTAGAACAATGCAGCAATGGTTTCATCATTATTATTTTGTGTTATTGCGGTTATTAGAACGAGAATGTTTGTTTTAGATTCCTCAACTATTAATGTAACTACATTATAATTATTTGAGATTTATAGGCGAAGGTAGAACGGCCACTTTTCATATGAAATTTTCTATCGATTACACGTTTAGCGTAGTAACTAAGGTATGGACGATGACGCTATGTACTACTATTTCAATTACTAAATCTTTATTATGACTTTTACAAGTAACTAACAAAGGAATTTAGACCTTATATTTACGCATAGATATTACTACTTTACTATCATAATTAAAACATTTAAGTTCACTTTACAACACAAAGTAATTGCAACTATTGATCTGTGTTTAATATGCAGACCATGCACAGTTCCTACTCGTGAATAGTGAATGAATGCAACTCCTTGTCAATTCATTCACAGTACTATTTATATGTACTTACAACTTATGTATACATGTTATATACACCAAGTATAATTATATATAGTTTTTAGTAGGAGTAGTAGTAATTACTGACGTGATGTAAGACAAACAAATCTTGGTAGAGGACTCTTAACTAATACTTCATGGAGGTAAAAAGAAATAGATACTATATGTTTAGCTCCGATATTTTTGATGTACAGACCCCAGTTCATCTCTGGTTTATGAAATCTATTATCGACATTATTACAATGACGTTAGTGTTCAAAACTATTCAAAATGTACCTAATCTAAGTATTGCTAGCATGATTAAAAATGAATAAAAAAAAATTAAAAGTAAGTTCTTCTTCGTTCCGTAGAAGATATGTATATTACATTATGTAATCTACTATTATAAACTAAACATGGTGTGTATGCATGGTTTATAAAAAATAGACAATAACCAGAACACAAGTTCACATACACAGTGTTATAGTTAATAATAATTGTGCAATAGAAAAAGATGTTTTCCAAGTCGGGCAATGTGTAGATTAGTGAACAATTAGTTTGTTAATGGATTAATAAAATTTGAAGTGGCTGTTCATACCTCTGCCGAAAAAGAAATATAAAAAGAGAAGAAATTAGGTTTGTGTTATAAAAAACCTTATATCAGTTCTTTTATCTGCTTTATTGTCGCTCCCTTGATCACTCTAGTGTTTAACGTCCCAATGACCTAGAAAAGCGGGCTATAAAAGGCTGGATGAGGCAGCCGGCGCTATATTTGAGATTTATTCGATGCCTCGCAGTAACGGGAGAAATCTCATTTGTAACAGACACTTTCTTACATAAAGAAAACTCACTTTTACAATGTAGTTTTTTGTAGCTCTACTGTTAAGATTAATGAAGATAAAGTAAAATCGAAGCAAGATGACAGAGTATTGAATAAAATTATGAAGTCATATCAGTTATTTCCCGGGCAAGCTTTGTATGAAAGAAAATTTACGGAGGTCTTGGGGTGAGACTAGTGTTAAAATGTTGTAGGACGCAGGGGCTGAGCAACTCCCACCCAAAACAAACATTTGATAGACTTATAACTCATCGGAGCTGACTGTAACATATTTGTTAGTAAAGGCACCTACAAATACCAGAAAAGTTCCAGTATTTGAAAAGATAAATAAAATAGGTTTACCTGTACACTTCTAACCGTTTTCTGATCTTAATGATTTTGAACCGATTCTTGGAGACTATTTCTAGCTTGTACCCTTGAACTTCTGGCATTTGACCTCACAGCTTCTCAGGTAGGACGGTGGGATCCATAAATCACCTTTATGGTCCCCCAGTGACTTCATTCAGAGCTTGGGTCACACTCTTACAGTACAGATGTATTGTCACATAATTTTAAACTGTAGTAATATTTAGGGCGTTGGTAATTTAGACGTTTCGTATCGTAGCATAAATATGGTGACGGAGCAATTTTCTGGGCCCTAGACAAATGGTACCGTACGGGACTGACTTTCGATTAGTGTTACTAAAACGAAACGTCTTAATTCAAAAGCCCCATATTCTTAACACTATATACTTGGTGCAGGTATGGATCTAGGGTGGCAATGGGTGCAACTGCAATTGAAGAATGAGTTGTAAGACGGCGCAATTGCACTCATTTCTAAACCTTAGATATGTATGCGTCATAGTGACATGAATTGAGCTAAAATTTCCCCATTAATCCGTACCTGCATATACATTGATATTGTAACATTACAACTACATAATATAAATAGCAATCTTACATACTAAAAAGAATAAGCAGAGCTGTGCGGTCATTATTTTTAAAACGCCAATACCACATAAAAATCAACAA